CAACAGCGCCGGGATCCGCCCACAAAGTTACTTGCGCTTTGAGCTTTGACACTTGCGTTTCAGATCGTTAAAATAGGGCCCCTAGAGTCAGTCTGACGTTGGGTTCTGACGTCAACCCAACTTTCATTTTCAACCAAAATCCAACATCTGTCCGACGTTGGATATTGACGTCAATCTGACGTTGGGTTCTGACGTTAACCCAACTTTCATTTCCAACCAAAATCTAACGTATGTCCGATGTCGGATGTTGAGTTTCATGTGAAAATTTACATTCAGTTATTAATATTATTATTATTACTATTATTTTACTATTCTCAAAAGTAATTCTTAATAATAAACTTTTCTGACAACAGAAGGTTACATCAATCAGGTTACCACTTTTTGCAATGTACTCTTTAAATGATCAACTATAACTTGTGAACCCAAATGTTATACATAACCTGCTGCAAGTATTTACAACGTGAAAGTGCAAGGCTGATGCTCTGTGGTGGATTCACACATGAGCGTCACGAGGCAGTTTCATTTCGATTGAAAGGACGCAAAAAAAAAAACCGCGAAACCGCAAAGCACACTCCCAGAATCTGGATGGTGCGTTTCCACTAGCCTAGCGCGGAGCAGAGCAAGCGTTTTCAGTTCATGTAGAAGTTTAGCTTCACGCTCACGCGCAAGCTTAAAGCTCAACTTCCATTGGAATTAATTATATGGCCGTTGAAATGAAACACGCATACTCACGCAGTCTGGCGGTAGATTGCGCGTCTACAAAAAAAATAAAACCCAAAAAAACTTAAATGATAATAAGGAAAATTCTAAACTTTCAACAAAACTTTCAGGGAATTTAGAACGTTCTGATGAAAGGGTATTTATAGGCCTAGGCCTATGAATGAATCGCTTGTATTAAAAGAGAAAAATTTGCGTGGTGCCCCTGGCCACTTGCCATATGGTTAATCCAACTATGATTGTGGACTGAAGGGACAAATTCATTTATTTTTAACACTGTTTCAATAAACAAGTTTTTCAAGAACTTGAATCTTTTTATAAACCCACACCTCAATATGAAGTTTGTAAAGATTTACTCATTGAACAAAAGGTGGACAAAGGTTTCAACAACAACTGTCTGAAAGAGAAAAACTTTTCAGGCAATTTACAATTAAAAATTTAATTAAAATCTTACTCTGTAGGTGAAAACATGGTGTTATATAATTTATTTTTATATGTCGCTATACCATACATTCCTTAATGCTATTCTCTCACGCGAGGAGGTAACACTAATTAAATATGGTAAAAAAAATTCTTATAGACCTTAAGCACCAGAGAAACAAGCGCACAGCCATCTTTAGAATTTTGAACTTCCGGTTTGCAGTTGCTCTGTATATTTCAATGGCATCGCTGTCGAAGAGTAATTAGCCTGTGAAGTGGATTTACTTATTGTATAGTTAACGAAAGTTATCACAAGCATTGTAATGTTTAAAGCGGATGTCATTACAATTTAAAGTAGACCGGGAAGATGTTAAAACTAGCGGTTCATTCGTAAGATCTTACCTTCATGCTGTGGAAATACTAATCTGAAGACAGAATACAAGAGTGCAGCGCTGAAAATGGGCGTGGGTGTGGCTATACATACGATCTATAGAAATTTCAAGATTCTCTTAGTTAACAGACAGATTCGGTAAGTAAAATATAACTGTTATAAATTGGGTAGGATTTCTTTTTTTTTTGTGGTCTCCTCCCCTTGAATACTAATATATGTCATTGACTTTTTGAGTGACAGGGCCAAATTAAAATATTTTCTGTGTACCATCAATTAAATTAACTGAGCCTGTGTTATTGATTTTAAGGCAACAACATTGGTGCAAAAAAAAAAAAAAAAAAATCCTATCAGAACAGAACCACAATCATGACAGATAATCGGATTCATACTCATCAGACCTGATATATAGCTCCACACATCTGCACGGCTAAGAGCACATTTTATGTATCAATTTGATAAGGTTTCTGTCTCTTTATATCTTTTATTGATACAAGCAGAAAAAGACCCAGACTAAGCAATATGGCAGACGAACAGAAAATGGAGCTGGTGTCAAGGATTCCGCCTGGAACTCAAAATAGCGTGAAATGTCAAGAACCCTCTTGCAGCAGGCAGATATAATTGATGTTTTATGACATTTACAGATGCGTTAGGCAGAGAACTCAAGCATGGTGCTGCTTTAAATGTATGATAGTTGACATGCCACACAAACTGGCACGAGAGAACAGCATGATTAATGCAATATCAACAGCCCATAGAGGCCCAGCCTACCGCAAAAAGCCTTTAATACATCCACTTACCTTTGTGGTAACAAAGATCTAATATGCATGTTTATATTTGATGTATTTTTTTGGTTTTATAGTTTAAATACCATTCAATTTTGATCTTTATATAAAATCAAATGGTATTTAAATTTGATTATTTAACTTAAAAAATTGTTTTCCAAATTTATTTGGAATTCTTGGATTAAATTGTTTGTTTTTTTAAATCATTGTACATTCTAAAAGATATATTAACTAAGTGTAATTGTCAAAGCAGATCATAAATAAATTCGAAACCTATAATTATTGCAAAAATAAAAAATGAAACAGGAAAGTACCCTTTATGCAGTTGCCGATACAGTTCACAGGAAAAGTGAAAGGAAGCACGATCCTGTTACATCAAACCGAAAACAATCTTAGGACAGATTTATGGGTCTTAAAGACTGCACACTTACCCTGACCTCTTCAATTTCAGGGCGTAGCTTAAAAAGTAGATCATTTACTCTGACTGGAGGACTGGCAAAAAGATGTTGTAACGGAGCAATGGGCGAATAAGCGGCAGTCTAAAGCCTAGCGTTACAGCTAAGGGGCCCAGGAAGGCTGTCTCTTTCACATGCTAATGTCTGCATTTCACGCACGTAGCGAGGGTGCAGACGCGGCGGTGCAGCTGTCTGCTGTTTTATCAGCTCTCTCAGTGGGTCCCTAATGAATATTCTTCTCTCTGGCAGTGTGCATGAGCTCAGTAATCAGGTTAAGAAGCCTAGCACTTAGCAGGGCTTCTGAAGCTTCATCATTACCAAACCATGACCCTGCCCAGGTTCCATCCTACTGCAGAAGAGTTGGCAAAGCTGTGCAATGGCCAAGAGAGAGCAACAACAACAACAAAAAAAGGTTGAAAAGCTTTGTTGAAGTCAGAGAACAGCTGCGCCTTGGGTTTTGTTTTGGTATCTTTTGAGTATCTTCATGCTTTCTGCAGCTAACTGGATAATTAAAAGCGATAGTCAGTTCTATGATATAAGCAATGCAAAATCAAACAGACCATGCAAGTTAAAAAAACAAAGCAGCAACTATCCTTCGGCAAGGCCCCGATTTTCAGCCCACGTTATTTGAATGTTTGGAGTGAATTATTGGTGAATGAATTGCCCTGCCGTGTACCTTTTGTTATTTTGCAATTAGTTTATATCTTCCAATCTGCAGTGAGCAAAGGCTTGGAGTCATTGGGTAATGTCAGACTATGGTGCATGCAAGAGAAGACAATCCCCCCAAAAAGCAGATAATCTGCACAATGGCTTCTGTGAAGGGCACTTAATTAAGTCAACACAAATCATTAACACATTCTCGCTGAGGCTCAAATGTGAGAATTACAGATAACAGAAACGGCAAATTAATTCTGTTTTTAAAATGTTATAAAGTATATAAAATATAAAAATATTGTATTATATTATATTATATTGGTAACATACAATAAGGTCCCATTAATGTTAATGCATTAACTAAAATTAACTAACAATGAGCAACAAAAAAGCCTTGTGTTTATTAATCTTTGTCACAGTTAGTTAATACAAATTCAACCATTCATTCTTAGTTCATGTCAGCTCAGGTCCATTAAATTATGTGAACAGATAGAACTTTAACATTTCAAAATAACATTATATTAGATAAATAAATGCCTTATAATTTCATTAATAAGGTTCATGTTAACTAATCTAGTTAACTAATTTTAACAGTTGAAACCTTTTTGTAAAGTGTTACCTTGTTTATTCCATTGTATGAAATGTAGAAGGTAAACTAAACATCTCTGTGGCCAACATAATGCACACTTGCAGCAATCGACTTTTGGCACAAAAGTGCAGGCCATAAAGCTGTTTTCTGCCCCATAGTTTTAAGTGCTCCCAGCAAGTAGCTTTTAAAATAGGTCAGTGGCCTGTTGTCTTGTGCAACAGCGAGTTCTCCCTGAGCTCCGTGCTATCTAGAGTAGCTGGAAACGGGGATTTCTGCTTTCCTCTGCAAATCGATACCTCAACAGCAACTCACTCTCTCTATGTCTGAGCGATTAAGTCCTGCAGGAACAGGAATCCGGCTCTATCTCACTGCAAGCTGCCAGGCATTCAACTCCAGTGGGCAGATAAGTTCTCACATCGGGGAGAGAAACCTGGGAGGCATCGGGAGAAAGAGAGAGGGAATGGGTTTTTACACACTTTTACAAGGTGATAAAGAGAGAGAGAGAGAGAGAGAGAGAGAGCAGTAGGAGAATTTACTTTCTGACAATGTGATAGACTGAACTCTGTACTCATTTTCAGTGCCATTAGCCAGAAAAATTCATATTTATGTGCGAGAAGACGAAGAAAACGAGTGTGGACGAGCTCCTCGGAGTGTCCCAATAAACAAACTGTCTGTAGCTAGACAAACCGTCTGGAGGGACAAACAAACAAACACAGGGATTACAGCGTGCAAGATTAATGCCTCTTTTGTTTAATGAACTCCTCATGAACCTAATTACTGCAGGAAAGCTGAATGCAAAAAAAAAAAAGAAGAAAAAAGATGTCTGATGAGATTGACTTTGACTTATTTGGAATGATAGCTCACAGACACACAGCATGCAGGGTGGGCTGGTGTATAGATGTACAAGTCTGCTGCAGAAATTAGAAGAGGCAATCAGTGTTCTAGTTGTTGATGTTGTTTGCTCTTTTTGAATCTGTGATCTGAATTTCTAGGCTACATCGCTGTTTTTCGGATCCTGTGGGATAAAGCAGCATGTGGTCCTGGTGATTTGAATCCTGTAAAACCGCCCCGGGTATATTGAAACATCTGTCAGCGTAGATCTGGACAATGGGAGGTAGATCAAATCCTCATAATTTGATGTTGTCATGTTTCCCCGAGCACAGCAGATTGTGGTTCCCATCCTGTGTTTGAATGTTTTGGTACAGTCAGGGTCATGTGATCAGGCTGTGCTATCAACACTGTGACCCAAGCACCAGTAGTACTTTGCTCCTGTATCAAATGCTTTATTTTACACTTTTATTCAATCTCTATGTAACACACACACCGTGTATATATATATATATACTTGTATATACTCTTCATAAGTAGTACTATATTAAGTATGTGACACTGACTCAGACACAAGCACAGTTTCTTGCATGGCATTGTCTGCCTTGACACAAGGGGCGCTATAACAGGCATTATCACAAACTGTCTTCTTCTACAGTCAGTTTCAGTTCAACTTTAACCACTATCATCACAGCTATCAGGGAACATTGTGGCAAAGTTCTCTCAAAGCTATGAACAAACATTCTTCAAGTAACGTTAATAGAACATCATTCATGGAACATTTTTACCTTTAACATTTAGTCGTGTAATTTAAAAGTTTTTTAAATGTTACTTCTTGTTTCAAAATGTTTCGAGAAAAAGTAATGTTCCCATTATGTTTTGTAAAATGATCAAATGGGAATGTTCACTTAACGTTTGCATAACCAAGAAAAAAAGCATTTTTTAAAAACATTTAAAAAACATTTTTATAAACATAATTTGAATAACATAAATAACATTTTCAATATTATTATTTGGATTTAGCATTGTTTTTTTTCTCTCTCTCTTTGGTCTACAACCGGCCCTATCAGTACTTCTTTACGCAAGTATAAAAATTGCACACATTGCAAGTGTGAGTTGTACATACTTAACATGGTTTCATTTCATTTCGTTTTAATTTATTTATGTTTTAGTTTTAGTATTACATTAAATATAATTATTTAACAGCTTTAAATTTCATTGTACTGTCTAGTGTGTTTTTTTCTATCTAATGTGATTTTTATGTTTAACCCTTTAACCCTAAAGTTGCCGGCCACCGCCAGCGTTTTTGAGAATTTTCACAAAAATGTCATGGCCCCACAGAATATCTTGTTGTATGAATATCTGAACATGCAATAGGCCTGTGTCAAAAGAAAGAACAGTACCTTTGCTTAAAAAAAAAAAAAAAAAAAAAAATCTAGCAGTTTTATTCTTATTCTAACGTTTTATTCTAGCTTCATGCATTCTTTTTTTAATCAACTCTAGATTGTTGGTAAGCTTCATAAAAAAGCAACATTTTGGACAAAAAGCTTACAACGTGCATAAGCTATGCTTTTATCGCTAGTTTCTGCTCCTTTTATGCCTGTGTTTTGAATGCAGCTTTGAATGTTTATTTTTTTTCAGTCATGTTACTTGTTATTTTAGTTAACATTTATTTATTTATATATTTATTACATTTTTACTTTTCATTAACAACAAAAATAATAGCTAAGAGCATAACATCCATAGATATTCAAGAGACAAATACCAAAATTGTCAATATTCCTGTTTGTCCTATTTGTCACTCAGTGTCCAAAACTAAAATATGTCCTGAAGCAAAACCATTAAGAACTGCTGGCGTTGTGTTTGTTTCTGGCTTTATTCAAAACCAAAGCCTCAATCATCACATATATAACAGACAAACATTTGCACCATCAACAATAATCAGCTATCAAACTGTCCGTATGATTTCTCTTCATCAGCACACATGGACTTTAAACTTGGATCCTAAACTAAACTTGTTTTGACCATCTGGTTGTAGGAAGCGGACATTCAGACAGAAGTCCCTAGAAAAGTTTACACCTCATTTTCTTGTGCTAATGAAAAGAGTCCAGTCATAGCAGTGGCTAAAGCGAGACCCCTCGGCCCACATTGCCCCAGTCTCCATGGTGATGAGGCCTCCTGACCCTCCTGTCAGCATTGCTAATGGCCATTGTTGTGAGCCATGACCTGTGAGCTTCTCTTGAGCAGATGGAGGGTTTGACCCCCACCCAGCCTTAGTGCTGCTCCGTCACCCACACCCTCCCCTCTATCAGCTGCCCTGCTCCCAAAGAAACAGCACGACAAAGCAGGGGACGGGGAGAGAGGTGAGGGGGGAGCGCCGTGCAGGCGTCACTGTGGAAACTTGGAGTGGAGGGTGTGCATGTGTTTGTATGGGCCCCTGCAGGCTCGAGCAGCAGCAGGGCACACTCCCATCTGCAGGGAGGGGCCGAGGGCCCACGGACAGAGTGAGGGGCTTAACGCCAGCTGAGTGGGAGCCTGTGCTTTAAACTGCATATACACTGATTCAAAGGCATCTAAACATACAGTGCTTAGATACAAACAGCTAACTTGTACTATTAAGCATATTTTAAAATGAATGCAATAAATGATGCCTCCTAAGGGCTGGATCATACAAAGCGTGTTTTTGCGTTCTACAGTAATGTTTTTTTAATTGTTTTTCTATGTAAATATGCACTATAAAAATGTATTTGATGATTGTGATCTTGTCTTAAGCGTTTTAAAACGCTGTGTAAAGTTAAAAAAAGTTCAGCTTAAAAAAAACATGTTTCTGCTCAACAGAATGAAACAGTATGCAGGGGTCTGGAAATGCGCATTTCAAAGTTTTAAACTTGTCACTTGTACGTGGTCCAACAATTCAACAAATATCTTAGAGTGCTTTCTGTACCTGGTTCAGATTGAAAAACCTGATGAATAGCTGTAGACTGTAGGCCAGTTGTAAGCTTATTTAATGTTATTGAAATAAAACAAACAATATATGGACTGCTTGTAAACATGTAGACATTCCATTCAATGCTTTTGACAACCACAATAATGTAGTCTTTGAATAATATTTATTTGGTGGCTTTTCTTAGCCAGTATTGATACGCTGTTGAACTACCTGTTGGTAAGATTTTTTTCAATGTTTGATTCTTATACTCACCGAGGCTGCATTTATTTGATCAAAAATACAGTAAAAATAGTAATATTGTGAATATATATTTTTATATTTGATCTTATATTTTAAAATATATTCTTATAATGGGAAAGCTGAATTTCCAGCATCATTACTCCAGTCTTCAGTCACATGATCCTTCAGAAATCATTCTAATATGCTGATTTGGTGCTAATAATAATAAGAAACATTTCTTATTATTATTAATGTTGAAAACAGTTGTGTTCATTCATATTTCTGTAAAAACTGTGGTACATTTATTCTTTGATGAATAGAAAGTTCAAAAGAACAGAATTTATTTACAATAGAAATATTTTGTATAACATTATAAATGTTTTACTGTCTCTGTTGATTTAATGCATCCTTGCTGTATATAAGTATTGATTTATAAAAAAAAAAAAAAAAGTGGACTGACCCCAAACTTTTAAACAATAGTGTATATGTGATCTATTTTATCAATTAATTGTAATGTCATTCAATTAATTTACATTTTTAATTGATTCACAGCCTAACATGGTATATCAACAAATCTGCACTCTCTTGTGCTTTCTCTCTCTCTCCCACACAAACGCACGCACACACACACACACACACACACACACACACACACACATGCAGAGTGTGTGATGAATAACAACTATAGAGCATAGAGGTGGCAGGGTGATAGGGGAGAGCAGCAGTGCTTCAGCATTCACTCTGTGGGAGTCAAGACTCAAATCCCCACAGTAGGATTCACTGCAGAGCAAAGCTGATTCAATGCATTACCAATTCAGCTGATTCAACCTTATTTCACCCCAACACAATACAAGCTCCTTAGTCCACCGCCCTCCACCTCACCATTCTGCAGGAAAGCACAATCTGTGCTTGTGCTGCGGGACCGAGACATTTTGCTGGAAAATATTTAATGGCTGTATCTGCGGTTAAGAAGGGTATATTTATAGATAACGGAATTGGAAGTTTGAGCCTGGCTGTGAAAAGTGTCTCAGCAATTCTCTGTGTCCAAGACAACACCCGCTTCACGAATAATAACAATATTGTGATGTTCCTGAAAAACTCATGGGAGGTAATCAAGCAGAAATGTAATATCTTCAGCAATTTTACAAATATAGATTTTGTATTCCAGTTGTTACAGTATATAAGTACAAATTGAGCTTGTTTAACCCATAAGCACAAGGATATATGCCGGCCTGGCCTTTTTTTTTTTTTTTTAAAGGAATAGGTCACCCAAAAAGCTTCCTCTCTTTTGTACTCATCCTATGTTTTTTTTTTTTCAGACAGCATGCTGTTGTTATTTTTTTTATGTGGAACACAAAAGGGAAAATTTCCCCTCTTTTTCTTCCTCTTTCACAATTCATTATGACCACAACTCCAAGCTTGAAAATAGACACAAAAGTGGTCAAATATGACTCGTGTGCTATGTTCCAACTCTTCTAGAGCCAGCTTTTTATGAGGAACGAATCAACATATTTAGTTATTCAATTATAATTTCTTGCTGTCATTTTGAGTCAAACTCTTGAAATGGATTGGTCTGATTCGGAAACAAGTTTTTTTTTTTTTTTTTTACAGTTCTGTTTTTACAGTAAACCTGATCCAGTTTAATTCAATTTAATGAACCAAATGATTCATTCTGATTCAAATCAGTGAACCATTTGATCCAGTTTGGTTTAATTCACTAAACCAGTTAATCCTGATCCAATCTAGTTTATCTTACTGACTCAGTGCATGTAATTTGAAATAAATAAATACATGAATAATTTTTGTGAATGAACAAATCACTAAGTCATTTCATCTTTATTTAAAGTGCCTTGTGAAGATTCTTCAAAGTTTTCCTTCTGTCTTCCATGGCAAAAATAATAGCATACAGATTGAGAGTGAGTTAATAATGACAGAATTTTACTTGTTTAGGGTGAACTGTCCCTTTAATCCAGTAGCTGGTTTTATCACATTGTGTGCTTGGACTGTGTAGAACATGAATGCCACTACATAAGCTACTGCAAAATGCTGCAGTGGTGAAAACGCAAACTGTAGCTTGCACATTTTAAATATGGATCTTTCTATGACCCAGCAATGCTGCC